TAGTTACGATGCTCCTGCCGCTAGTTCACTAGGCTGTTTCAGATCCCTTCATGCCGCCTGACGAGTCCAACCCTGCGCAAGGTGTCTTCTGCCAGCTCCTTCTCGCTACATGCGTGGCATCTAAGCACCAATCGGCGACCGAAGCTCGTTCTCATCATCGCTTCCTCCTGGGAGCCCCAAAAACCATGCATCCCGTCGTCTTCACCCGTGTCAAGAATATGTGAACGTGTGAAACGTGCGGTCAGCGCCGTGCTTGGACAGACTTGCCTCGAATGTTGCCCACCTGTTCCTACCTTCAGTTGTTCAAGAAGCGTCATCCTCTTGAACGCCTTCCGACATGGGTAGCTTTGGCCGAGTTGTAACATTCGCCCAGCTTGCCATGCTCTTTCATTTGGCTTTCTTTTTGGTTTTGGTTTTTTCACCCTCTGATTCGTTCGACAGCGCATAAAAAGCACGTCGCTGAGTGAATAAAATGCCTTTGTCTCCTGGCACTGCTTGCGTCGTCTGTTGCTCGGCTCCCGTCGGTCGTTTTAGACGCCGAATATGTAACACTTGGTACTTCGAAAAGATGATCTTGTCCGCGGAGGTCTCATCAACGAAGAATGTCACCCACATGTTGGATTCAATGGCCGCCTGCACCAAAATAACGTAGTGTTCCTACTTGAAAGAACGAACAGCACTATAGCTTCAGTATGAAACTGGCATCCATCTTAATCTGCTTTATTCCTACCTTCATCCTTCTCTTCTTTCCTGCCCCCCCCCCCCCCCCCGGCTTTCGTGCTTCTTCTTGTCCTGTCCCAAGGCTCATACCGCTTCAACAGTGACGCACAGGAGAACACACAATCCTGCCCGGCACCCAGGAGAATGCTTTGAGCGGTATCATGCACTATAGCAAATAACACTAAAGCAGTTGCATGCAGAATGCAAAAGCAAAAATAAAGATCCTGTGAGGTTTTCTTGCACGGCTTGTGTTTTTTCCACGACACCAGAAACTGGCAAATTTGTTTCGGACCAGTAGAGCCGGAAAGTGGGTAGAAGTCTTGGACCGAAAAAAGTTTAACTATCTGCAAGATGCAAACAATCGAGATTATTCAAAAGCTTGTGCGAAGACCAGTGATGATTTGCAAAGACCAGTGAGACTAACATTGCCTCTAGACATCGTCATCCCGTCCCCTGCAGTACTGACCAGTGAATGTGCCATGGACGCTATCACTCAGGCCGCTCACGCACGCGGAATCACCCATACTCGCCTTCTGACCTCTCAAGAGAAGCAATGGTGTTTGTATGATCAACGACACTGCAATGTACACTTTTCGCCCAGTTCTTTAGTCCTGCTCTGGTCTCTAGCCCGTCGAGCTGGCTTGTGAGAAAAATTGCTTACTCACTACACAGGTCCATACCAAGTCCTTTGTATGGTTACTACTCTGACGTATAAAATTGGTCCTGTCACCCCGTCGCCTTCATGTGCCCCACGGGCTACTGATATTGTACATGTTGCACGCTTGAAGCCCTACTACTCTCCCAGTGACGCTGACATTTAGATGTGCCGAGACGGCGCTTCTGCCGCCGGGGATTATGCTTCGTGCATGCATTATGCACATTGATATTCTGGGCGGCGACGCGCGTGTGTGCCTTAGGAGGAAGACGAAGGGTTGCCTCTGCTCGATCGCTGGTGAACCGGTCATGCCATTACTGCTGGTTTTAAATACATCTCATCCACAGCCTTGTCGATACGGTGTCGCGTCTTATCCATAACAATATTTATACTGTGACACTCTTTTAAATTGTGTACTATCCAGACAACAATAAAACGAAAACAACTTTTGACCATTGCTAAATGACAAGATGGTTGTTTTAATACAACTGATGTTCATTTGCTATGTTTTGCACCAGGTGCTGAAAGGAAGCAGTGATTGTGAACGACGGTGATCTTCTGCAGAATTAACAGGGTCGCACACTACGCAATCATCAGCATCGAGTCTTACTGTGATGAGGTACAAAGTTAGGCAAATCATTAATATTGATTAAAAATAATAAAGGGTCTAGAACAGATATCTGAGGAACGCCTCGTCTCATGTCAACAAGGGATGATTACAATGAATTGAAATGACCGAATCGTGAGCTATATTGAAGCAAACGGGCAATGCAAGAAAGGAGGGGAATCATTGCGTGTGGTATCTAATTTCACTAGGAAGTTATAAATGAAGAACAGAGTCAAAAGTAGTGAAGAAGTCAAGAAAAATTGCATCTATTTGATTTCCTGTATCCAGGTTAAAGGTAACATCATGAACGAAATTGACTAATTGTGTAACACTGCTGTAGCCACGGTGGAACATGTGCTGAGCTACGGTTGACATGAAAAGTGCTCAGCTTCCTGGACATAAGCATGCAGGTTACAATACAGAAAGCATGAAGCTCAGATTTCAAGCTGGTAAATGCCAAAAGTATCATTCACATGCATAAAAGCAAGCAAAATGTATAAATTTCTGCTTATGAACAAGTAATCATGAAGCAGGTTTTACGCCTCTTAAAGGGACTGAAAACAGTCCAGAACATGAAATGACTCAACTCCACTGTTGAAAAGATTGTCCGTCGCATTGACTCTAACTAACCCTGTTGTTTTCATTAGAGTTAGATTTATACTCTTATTTCGTCACTAAAAGTCGTGAATAATTATCTGTGGCACCTTTGGCAGCAAAAACATCAATGATTCGATGTACCTGGCCACGTGAACGTTGACCATTGTTTGCGACAACAAATTTTTTGTTAGTATTAAAATACTGTTGGTTTTCGTATATTAAAAGACATTACACCGTAAATACGTACCTATAGACCTGCGTTAGAAGTATGCATTAAAGCGGAGCTAGCTCCCCGTGACGTAATAATCCTATGCTTGTCAGAACGTCTTAAACAACGTTTCAGCGTGCTTATGCAAACGTGCAAGCAGTTTCCAGGTCGATAAGATTTTGGAGCGACATAGCCTTGCTACCCGCACTTCATCTCGGGAATCAAGCATATTTATTGCTACCTGTTGTGTCCGTGTATATGTGTAGTGACGTTTTGGGTGACCTGGCTTGCCTCACCTATCGAAAGAGTAAAGACACTGGGACAAGAAGCTGCCCATGACACAGGTGCAGGCAACCTTGGGTGCAGGCGCATGCAACGCGATACAAATAGGGAAGCTGTATAATGCCACATTATCTCAATGTATATGCTGACTACTTTTAAAAAACAACTGAAATGCTCAATTTAAAGGTAGTTATGCATAGTTACAAGAACTCCTGCGAAAGCAGAGCAGCCTTTAGAAATCATGAGAAGAACTGAAAGTTGCCGATCCCTTCTCGCCTTGCTGAGGGAAGGTTTAAGGCATCTTTGTTTAGAGCGTTTGGCATTGAAAAATACTACTAGCGAATTGGGTCAGGCTCATACAAGCAGTATTCTTTCTTGTTTTCCTCAATTGCCTCTGTGAAACCTACTGCTGGACACTAGCTCGGAGGCTCTGTGTTTAAAGGGAGAAAGAAACATCAGTTCGTGAATAACAGTGTGTGACATAGCATCATTAGAATCAATGAAATATAGTCTAATCCAAGTACAACACACTTCTCACAAATGCACAGTTTGCTGCATGCTTATAGACCTGAAGTAGAGGACTCGGTACAAATTTACGAAACCGTTTCTGTAATCATTGGATGGCTGCGTTAAGTGACTGCCAGCCCTCTTCATCACACAAAACATGAAGGGGGTCAGATACAAAGGGGGGGGGGGGGGGGTATGCTCCTAGGACTAAAACTGTAAACCTTGAATAAATAAGCGCGGTTGCATCTTGTCTCGGAGATCAGTATAAGGTTCATACTTCTGTAACTGCTGTACTTGCTACGCTCTCACCAATCACACTGCATTAAAGTGACTGACAACATGAAAGTTACTTTGCTCGCTGAAGCGACTATTATATTATGTTAGCATTCAGAATGATGCCTCATTCGATCCCAAAGCCTCACTTCATGTACCATTGCGATATGCCGCTATGCGACCTCGCAGCCAAAGCCGAGTTCCTTTTTAAAGAGCCACTCACCAGGCCCCACACCAAATTTTAGTTAGTGAAAGTTGTTGGGTGTTCGATGAGAAACATTTTGCCACAAAAATTTTATGAATCGGTTTACCACGAGTGGAGAAAAGAGGCTTTTTGAAGCGGCGCAAAACGAGGATGAGGGGAGGCGAGCTCGAAACCCTTGCCGCTCCTCCACGTAGCCTTTGCAAGCCAAATCTCTTCCTCATCCTCTCAGGCATCCGACCAAGAGGTCACGTGCGCATGACGTGCCCCAACAAGCCCAGCCCCCGTGCACGCGAGTGGCGTTGCTTTGTTGACCAGCATTATTTTGTGGTCTTCTGCCTGTTTTTGCGGGATGGTTTGGAAACCCTGGCTTATATGCGGTAGAATAGATGAGTACAATAAGTGCGCGAACGCATAGGAGCGTTCCACGGCGGTCGTCTTCTCCATGGGCTGACTGCGAGGACACGAACGCATGCGGAACGCCAACACATTAGCCCCGCACCTCGTTGCAATTCGCGGGAGAAAAAAAGGAAAAAAGATGCTTACATTCTCTTATTATGCCTTGTTACTTATCTAGTTTTATTGATGTCTTCAAGCAACAATTACATAAACCACGCATGCCGTATTAAATAATTTTCGCCATGTCACATGCCACTGTTTTCAACGGCAGAGCAGAGTCCTCTACGTAAAGGACCAACGTCACTGCATTGCCGTGTACGTAGGGCCATTCATAGGCGCACGTCATGCCCTCATTCTCCGGGCGCGCGCCGGCATAAGGGAGGGAGAGCAGCGTTCATCTTGAAATTTGACCCATTTCCGCGGCGCGTAGCGATAAAAAATTTGGCAGGCGTGATCATGAACGCCTCGTCTATGCAGTACACTTGTCAGCTCAAAATTGTCAAACCTGGTGAGTGGCCCTTTAAATCTTATGATAAATGTGATGACATACTTGAAGAAAGAGCTTGTGATTCTGTTTGCGTTGCAGTTGTTGATAGAATTTTCCCTTGATTTGCTTGGGACGCTTCACTGCGGGTATGTAGTCGCACTTGAACCGATTTATGAGTAATGTGGTTCGATTCACATGCTGGCTCTGGTGATGTTTCCACAGCTTGTCCCTCCTCACAAACCAGACCTGGTGCTGCTCCATGTAACGGTTCTGCTGTGAAGTCATCCTGAAATAAATTTGTATATGTTGTCGAAAGTGAAAATGCAAAATATTATTCCGAAGAAAAGAAATCAAAGTGCTCTTACGAGATCTCTTTCAATGTAATGTCTTGATTTTGGCGTGAGTGGAATGGTTGTGCCTCCAGAGAGCAACCACCCAAGAATATCAAATAGTGCATGGAAAAACAAGTTAGAGATGTATACATAGCAGAACAGGTACTTATCACAATAGCTAAAATGCACTCCTAATACACAACGTCAAATATTTATTTGAATTCATGAAGAAAGTAAACAGCAATGCGGCTACACCACTAGTCATTGTCATAAAAAGAATACGACAGCGTCCATCCGTTAATGTGGGGACGACAAAACAACAGTATCGCTTTTCTGAACACATATCATTACCCCCCTCTGAGAAGACAGAACTTGCACACTGCCCCAGCAGGCAAAAGGTACTTAGTATACTGAGCCTGCTTTTAGTATATCTACATCTACCATTTACTCCAGAGTAGCTAACATTGTTAACCTTATGTAGGTTGACCTTTATTCTTGACACAGTGATGTAAAAAACAGCTTTGGTACAGTGATATAAACTACAAAAAAATAGTACCAAACAAATCTCATTGAAATCAATCTAGTAGTTTACTGAAAAAAGTGGGACGTATATGTCCGATTATTTTGCGAGTGTTTTGAAAAAGTGGGAAAACACTGTCGTACTGCCTCATGGAGGCACCATGTCGCACTTGCTTCAACGGATATATGGAATGAAATGCCAGAAGCAAGGGGCACACAGTATCGCTTCTCAAGTTGTCAAGAGGAAAATCGTGTGGACCTGATTTTTATCACGCAACACCAGCTGCAGTGTAAGCCTGATTCATACCGAACGCTATGTTCTGTTCCTGTAAAGCTTACTTCACCAGCACCAAACATATTTTTTATCATTATTTGACTGCCTTACTTTTGCTGTCAATACTGTCGAGCACAGCTGTTGCCCCGGAACATGTGCCTTAATATCTGCAACTGCAGTGAGGGATGAGCGGGGCGATTTCAAGGAGGGCTGTCCAAGTGATTTGATCGGTTAAGTTATTGCGCAAATTTACAAAAGACCTGTGATGGTTGGAAGCTGAAATGACCTCTCAAGAATACCAGAAGAGGAAATTATCCAGAATTCTGATTGGTAGGTTCGATCTATCTGAAGAAGAGGAAAATTCAGAAGCTATAATAAAACATTGAGCGAACATTAACACTTCTGTAACACTACTACTACCCTTTAAAAGCATGATAAGAAAAATTTTCTCGAAACTATGAGTACATAAGTAAAATATTGCCACTTGTGTTTCTTATTTTCACACTCGTTTCATTCAGTTTTCGCCCACAAAGCCTGTCCAAAATGCTCAGCCCAAATTGCGCCTCATTGTTCGAGAAGGCTCACGAGTATTATAGATCGCCGTGTCAAGAATTCGTGCAAGACGCAAACATTCGAGATTATTCTAGAGATTGCGCGACGACCAGTGATAAGGCTTGAATATTTGACGGCACATGTTTAAATGCTGATGCGCTTCGCCGCTTGTCAGTTGATTAACAGCCGACACTCAGTTTGCTGCTGTCAGTGCCAGTGTGTATCGCTGCAATCAGACTTTTCATTGACCGGCCACAAGTACGGTCAAATAAGCAGTTTGATCTTCAAACTACAGTCTGCTCGTTTTGTCAACATCACAACACCGTGGCAATATCAATGATCTAGCACTGTCCAAAGTGGGATGGGTGATATGGGATAAAATGTTTTCTCAAGACTTTTCTAAAAAGTAGGACATAAGTGTCCCACTGTCGCACGAATGGTTAACAGTAGACCCCAGTCTGGTGTAGTCAAATTTCAGTGCCTTCCTCATGGGGTGCCTAATGCACCATCTTATATTTCAGGTGATGATGGATGAGGAGCTTCGAGGCCTTCTACACGTAAGATGTTACACTGACAATGTGATTGTGATAGGGTCTGAAATGGCCAGGAAACGCTAGAATGTATCCGGCAAAGATTGAGCGAATATAATGCACAACATCGATAAGTGGCTATTTTTTCGAAAATCTGCGACATATTTTGGTTGCAAGGTCACTGAAAAAGGCATTCACCCTACACATGCAAAGAAGGGGGCAATCTTGCAAACCACTGAGCCCATAACAGATACAGAGGTCAAGCCGAATTCGTGAGGGTAAAATTTTGAGTTTAAAATTTTCCAAAAACACTTTGACAGTGGTGGAGGAATTCTATAGACTACTGAAGAAAGATGAAAAATGGAATGGAGCAAAACATATAAATTTAAGAAAGACCTGCTGACAAGCAATGAGGTCCTGATTTTCTGACTTCAAGAAACCACTCACAATGGCTTCTGTTGTGTTATTCTACCGTTTCGTTCCCATGATTTCTCACGTTAGCTAAGTGCATATCGCGTGAATCTTGTTCGACAAACAAATTGCATGTTCCATGCAAATTTCGGTACATACTCTGTTGAAGAAGTGCCACTAAACCAGTAGTTACACGCTATGTGCGTTGCCCACGTCCATTTCTTCTTCATGACTTCATCTATGATGTCCTCAACACCCATTTTCTTCCTAAGCCACTTAGCTCTTTTCCTCTCTCTCAAGGTTGTATCTATCATTTTTTATTTTCTACTGCTCAATGCATCCTCAATTTAAGCTGAACACCCTTCGTAAGTTTTCTCTTTGAACTCCCTTCGCCAGTCTGCTCTGTAGTAAAGTACCAGTAAGATGCAGCTATTATATACTTCCCTTTTCTGGTATAGGTAAACTACAATTCATGATTTGAGAATGCTTGCTGAATGTTCTCCAACCCATCCTTTTTCTCCTAGTTTTCTCTCTCATGGTTCAGCTTCACAGTTATTGCCTGTCCTAAGCAGAGTTTCCTAAGTAAACGCTAGAGGGAACTCTGCTGCTAGTGTCTATGGGAGCTACAACGCACAGTGCTTCAGAGAGCATGGGAATGGTGGATAGTACACGGATTTGTATAAGCTTCGTACTTCTGGCTTCGTGTGGGTTCATGTGGCTTGAAGCTGTTTCTTCACAAAACAAAAACCAGCAAATGTTCAGCGGTTGCACTCTACCACCTTATCTGTCAGGCTTACGATTCCAAATTGGCTCACAAAGCTCAAAAGAATTCGTTTTTGCTTTTTCCTTTGAAACAAAACTAAACACAGCAATAAACGAAGCCATGTGTGCGATTCACCACCTGCAAGTACAAAAACTAGACAAATTCATGTACTACCCATTATTCCCGTAGTCGATTGATAAGGCTGTACCCTTTAGATTGGGTGGTGGCGAATGCCACCTAGCCGCAATACTTAGTGAACAAAAACTAGATTTATTATTATTTCTTTTTAAATAGTGAAGTTAGGAACTGGTACTTTGCAGTGAAGAATTTAATTTTCACTCGTGCCTTGATTTTATTCACTGTCAGATAACTTCCTTCTAGTTATATCTACCCGCCTAAAGTATATTTCGCCCTCTCTGTCCCTAAACCTCAGTGCTTTGAAAAACTCTGCGCCATCATTCTGAACTATATGGTGAAGCCCTTTACAGAACATTATCAAGTGTTCAACAGTTTTCTCCTCCTCTCCACATGCACTGCATACAGTGTTTACCCCTTCGTATTTGGCACGATATGTCTTGGTTCGTAATACTCCCGTCCTGGCCTCAAACAGCAAAGAACTACACCGAGTATTATTATAGATCCTTTCCTTGGCAATTTCCTGCTTAAAAGTGGGTTACATCTCTAGTGCCGACTTCTTGTACACGCACATTCTCAACATGTCGGTCTCTGTTTTTTTTTTACCTTCATCTTAACCGATAGTTCTTTTTGGTTTCGCCCCCGGCTGTTTTCTAACTATTTACCCGTGTATTTTCTAGTTCGCTTCCTCCATTTTGTATCGACATTCTTCATGTACAAGTAACTGAAAACCTTCCTAGCCCAACGCTCCTCTAAAGCGCTTCTCAAATTTTATCTTGCTGCTAGCTTCCCTGCCCTCAAATGATGTCCATCCCATATCACCTTGTACTCCATGATTTGGTGTATTCCCGTGAGCTTCTAAAGCAAGCCTATGCATTCCATGTTGCTTAATTTCTAATCTTGGTTGAACCTCTTGCCTCATGCACAAAGCTTTATTGCCAAACATCAGACCAGGAACCATGGCTTCTGTCCAAATCCCTCTCACATCATACCTATTGTAATTGCAAAGTGCCCCATTTTTGATCACTATTGCATTCTAGTAAATTTTAGTTGTTACATATATTTCGTGTTCCCTTACGTACTCGGTCCCATCGCTTATCCGTACGACCAGTTATCTGTATTTATCCGTTATCTCTAGTGTGACATCCTGTATCCTAAGCTCACTTACTTCATTATCATTAACAATCATGACTGCTGATTTTTCCTTACTGAATCTGAAATCTAACCTATCTCTCTCATTTATCAAAACCCGAAAGTAGCGGAGCAAGTAGCTATAGCTATAGCTATGCTCGACAGCAAACGGGAATTCATCTACAGCGACTCCACACCGGCCATCAAAGCCTTTGAACGTGGAGTCATCTCCGACCAGGCGTTACGTATCCTGCGCAAAGCGGACGCGAGTGCCCCGAAGCACCACACTGTCCTCTGGTTCCCCGCCCATCTCGGCCAGGTGCCGGGTGCCCTATCCAACCTCAACGAGATCGTCCATGACGGAGCGCGCACACTAGCCGACCGCACCGCCACAGGGCAACCCCATCTTGCTGAGTTAGATACCAATCGGGATGCACCCATTATGTAGAATGACATAACGAAGCACTTTTACCTGGAACGCCGCATTTTCCCACCCCCCATCCAAAACTTAACTGACCGCAGGCATTAACCCTCCGCCTATTACAGACACACATGTACCCAAACCTTGCCACGATTCACGTTTATTATCCTCATGCATACCCCAGCGACACATGCCCATCATGTGGACACACAGCGACACTCGCACACATGCTCTGGGAGTGTAGAACAACTCCTCCCGACTCTACCTCAAGCAAGTGGGAGAGGTCCCTCAGGAGCTCACTTCTCGCCGACCAGCAATGGGCCGTCCAGCAGGCCCACGAAGCGGCCGCCAGGTACTACCTGGCGGCCGCTTAACAGTGATCACTGATGTCACTTTTATAGGCCAGTAGCTGTTTATGTCAGCTTTCTCCCCCTTTCCTTTATAGATCATGCTCATCCTGCTAAGTTTCCATCCATCAAGGACTTCACCATCGATTATTCCTTTGCATGCTGCCTCTCTCAAATTCTGCTTAGACTTGCGACCTGATTCCTTTTTCAGCATAATTGGAATGCTGTCAAGACATGTTGACATACTACTAGGAACCTTTTTCTCAGCCCTTTCCCACTCTCGTTTTGAAAATGGAGCCACTGCTCCACTTGATCCATCCTTGTCTATTAAGGTGCATAAGGCACTTTATTGTTGAAAGTTTTCTGCCATCTTTGTTCTTATATATTAAATTGCTTCGTCATTTTTTAGCCTAACACCTAGAGCTGTAGTTATAAACCTGACCTCTAGGCTTGTATCATTACTCAGGGATTTTAGATGGTTCCAAAATTTTGCAGCTACGTTTTTATCCTTTTTATGTACTTCTTCCAGCCACTGAGCCCCTTTATTCTGATCTTTTTATAGATCAGAAGGGATGCTTCCCTTCTACAGCATAGAAAGATATTCTATTTTCTTTCAACATCATCTGTTAGTTCACCCCTCTGCTTAGCATGTCTGTTTTTTATACCTTCTTCATCCCACCGACTTTTGAGTTTGTATCTCCTTTTCCAGGACAACTTGTCATGTGCCTTAGCAAGCTCTAGCTCAAGCAGTCTAAATAAATTTGTGTACCTCCACACCGTGTTACTATCCTCAGTGATTACTTTCTCAATTTGTTTAGTAGCCATTTCCCTTTCTGAATAAAAATTTTCCCTGTAGTTGCTCATCTTGTCTCCTGCCCACTTTCATTGTTCTTCCAAAAACTTAGCTTGATACGGTTGTGATCACTATCCAGAGACTATCCAGGGTAGTGATCACAAACGATCGCAGTGCCAGAGCTCCCTCTAGTTAATTTTAAGAAACTCTATGGTTCTAAGTAGATGTATTCCTGTAAAACTTCCAGTGTCTCGTTAACTATTGCAAAGTGCTGTTCTCTAGTGATATTGTTGCATATTAGTATTCTGCATATTAATATTCAGTTCTACTTTTCTGCTTTCCTTGTCCAATACAGTAATCACGATTTGTGAATCCCGAGTTACTCATCAAGACAATGTCATCAGTGAATCGGAGGTTACTGAAGTACTCCATTAACACATCATAATTAGCTCTTCCTAATCTAGGACCCTGAAAACATCCAGTAAACACGCAGTGAATAGCAATAGGGAGACCATGTATCTACCTTACTGAGATTGTGTTGCTTCTTTGCAAAAAAAAAAAAAAACATATACCCCTCTCCCGCCAGCTCCAACATTCAAAATCTTACTTCATCTTCTGGACTCTTCAAGAATGCTGCTCTCGGCGCCTCCGATGCACTCTGTTCATTAACGAAGATAGATGCCACCACGCAGGGCTTTAATCGAGCATGTTTTAGCGGAGTTCCCATTACACGTATTAACGATAACCGCTAGTGGTAGTTGCCGCCACCAAACTGTTTCGAACAGAGAACTGTGGTTCTCGAAGGCTTGAAATTCCTTGATTTCACAGCAGCAATCAACTGATCAGCTTGTTCTCTCTTAATTGGAAGTTGTGATACAGTTACATGCTTTCTGCTGCGGGTGCTTCTTCAGCCGTACGCAGGAAAAAAAGGTCCGGCACGGTGATAGACAAGGTTCTCCGTCCAGTCACAGCTCTCTGAAGCGCGAACTAATAAAGTAGAGTGGGCAGGTTGAGTATTCAGGGCAAGAAGGGCAACTAACGCGAAAAACCAGCACACAGTGACAGTGCGAGCTCTTGGTACGCGACTTCTCTACCGTGGATCGGCATAAACTAAGTACACCCATTGGCGTTTCATGGGCGCTGCCATCTTGAAGGTTCCTTGCGAACATAGAGTATCGCTTAAATACGCTTCATACAGCTAGAAAGCGCTAGTCGCCACCCTATCTAAAGAGTACAGTCATATTATTTTATCCATTTATCCTGGGTATGGTAGCTAGAGAAGCCACCATATCCTGGGTTTCGCTTCTGTTTTCACATTTGGCTCTGGTACTGTCCATTGTAATCATCTAAATCCTTAACAGAAGAAAGTGTATCTTGTGGTTTTCGCGCGAACGGGTTTTTAATGGAAGATAAAAGTTATCGGCGCCCCATGGCGTTGTGAAACGTTTTTGGCAGAAATGTTTCTAGAACCTGTTCAGTTGCCATTTTAAAGGAGTGTGCCAGCCGTCGGTGCGCCGCCACTGACGTCTCCTTTCGGCGCGATCGACGTGTCCTTTAGGTACGATTAAACTTTTTTTCAGCAGACATGCCTTTATTTGGCACCTTCCGTCCCCGGTAAATAGGCGGTCTTTTAGTAATTATGCCCACTAGGCAAATGCATCGTATTTGATTCACCCACCGCTTCAATTTAAAGGAGCACTGACATCAAATTTCAAGATCGAGATGCGTCCATCATTCCATCACTTGGTATGCATAGGTGGTCTTGGCCAAATTTGAATGGCGTCTGTCGCGTTGAAGTTATTTCATTTCGACATCTAACAGCGTATAAGAGCTAAGGAGAAAAAAAATAGACTGCCCTGCGACATCGACATTAGTAATATGTGTTTGGTGTAGAGGTGTGCGCCGTAAGGTCGGCGCGCCGCTAGGTGTTCTGTGGCGCCGCCGCCGACAGTTTTTGCTACGCCGCCGCCGCCAACGCGGTTAGTCGGCGCGCCATTTAAATAGGCTTTTTTTTTTTTTTTCAGCTTGCGTACGTTTATTTTGCACTTTCTGTCACCAGTGTGGACTTAGTTCTGTCCACTTCGCAAGTGCATCAAAATTGGTTCACCTGCCACATGGTCCGTCGGGTCTCCGATAAATGCGGGGGGCTACGGTGCAGAGATGCCTTGCGGCTGGCACATGTATTTGTAACCAGTAGAATCTTGTATTCTACATTATACCTCCACCTGCGAAAGCAAGACGAGGATGTACTTGGATTATCATCGTTCGCAAAATTGTAAAACGAGCTTTCGACCTCCCCTGGACACCAGTGCCTTCTAGGCCTGCACTCTAAGGCAAAATTGCCCGGAAAAGGAGTAACGGAGCCCAAAAGCCGCGCGTGATGAACGGATATAGACCTTTGAGGGGCAACCACAGAGGGAAGCGTGCAGCGCGAAACCACTTAGTCTCCAACCACGCTCCAAAGGGATGAACCGCCCGGGAATCGCAGGCAGTGCGAAAAGCGTTGCCAAGGTGACTAGCCATCCTGCTCCTCTTCTGCTCGCCCAGTCTTTTCCCGTATTTTGCTGGCGACGGTTCGCGTTGCGTCGCGCTCGGAGTGCTCTACCACGGCCGCCTGGATTCGACGATCTAGGAATTACGACGTGGTGCTTGTGTGTACGCTTGAATGAGCGTGGGCTGCTGGTTTTTACGTTTCACTGCACAAATCAAGTCTGGAGCAAGTCGCGACACGTCACCACGCCGTGCTGTATATCTTTGGCACGGCCGCTGGATGAAAAAGCGCACGGTACGGCCTGCCGCGTGGACAGGCTTTCTATGGGAGAGCGCGTGTCAGCCGTAAGGTCAGTTGCGGCCGCTGCAGCGCTACGGGGCGGAGACGGGGGGGGGGGGGGGGCGGAAAAACGAGTGGTGGCGGCTCCCTCGGAGCCGCAGCAAATTAGCTGGTGTTTGTCACAAACATCAGTTACCCACTCAGTTGTTCTAATCAGTGTTTTTAAAATCTATTTATCACAGCCATGACATATTGCATATTTAGTAGACTACGAGGCACTATTTAGTTGAAAAGCCAATTGATTTTTTCTGGGCGTGCCGAACACCTGACGTTTTTTTTTTTTTTTTCAGAACCAGCTTTTTGCTCTGAGGCTGACAGAAAAATCCACAATTCATGTAGCTGAATGATATGGCACTGAATGTGTGCCAAAGTCATTGTTCTATTTATAAAGATGTCTTAAACTAACATATTTTGATTATTGTGACGTTTGTTCAGCACTTTTGCGTTTTCTCAGCCGGAATGCTTAAGAATTAATTTTTGGACACTTTACAATAGACGTTAGCAGTTTTTTATATTCTGAAAGCGTATGGAAGAAACATAATTTAAATATTTTTCATGTTATCCAGTAAATGGTAACACACACACACACACACACACACACACACACACACACACACACACACACACACATATATATATATATATATATATATTATATATATATATATATATATATATATATATATATATATATATATATATATATATATATATATATATATATATGAAAACATAGGCAAGCTGAAAAAAAACTTATTTGAAAGGCACATCGACTAACCGCGTCACCGGCGTAGCAAAAGCTGTTGGTGGCGGCACGCCGACCCTACGGCGCACACCTCTACTAGGGTGGCTAGCATTCTAGCCAACCTACCTCTACACCGAACTACAATGTATTAGAAGGGGGCAGTGGCGAGGCGGTAAATGCAGGAGAACGATCATCAGGTCACGTGGTCATAAAATCATGTGATCAAAGCGATAGCTCATCTAGGTACTTCTTCACCTATAGGAGCAAAGAGTGTGTCTATGGACGGTTTAGGTAAACCACAGAACATGCGGAACACGTACAATCGGGTGGTGTGTTATGGGTGTGTGGGAGAAGCATGAACGGGGTGGACGTGTGTTCACAGCTTCCGAGCTAGTAAAGTTGATTGATGATTGATTGATTTGTGGGGTTTAATGTCCCAAAACCACCATATGATTATGAGACGCCGTAGTGGAGGGCTCCGGAAATTTCGACCACCTGGGGTTCTTTAACGTGCACCCAAATCTGAGCACACGGGCCTACAACATTTCCGCCTCCATCGGAAATGCAGCCGCCGCAGCCGGTATTCGAACCCGCGACCTGCGGGTCAGCAGCCGAGTACGTTAGCCACTAGACCACAGCGGCAGGGCGAGCTAGTAAAGTTGCGTTAATTCATTATCACATAAAGCGTGGCAGGCCGTCTCAACCACATGCCCTCATTAGCACTGAAACCGACTCTTGGGAAAGGAAATATAGGCAAGTGAGGTGTGAAAACGCAATGTGAAGTGATAATTGTTGAGAAAGCGCCTATGAGCCAAATGCACTGGCAACAGCTACGTTGGGGCATTTTAATTGGTCTCTCAATAGAAAATGTCTAAGGTAGTGCATCTGATGATGCACAGACATAACAAGTGCTTCATGACCAGTTTACTTTGAAGGACTTCATACGTTACACCTTGCTCCCGATACATTTTAACCGGTCGTTTACTGAGAAGCTTTATATGGGCACTTAATTAAATGTTTAAAATGAGCGACACTGCAAACCCAAAGCATACAGTAAAAATGTCACTTGAGTTAATACAATCAGCGAGTGCAATGCTTCCATGCAGTAAAAAATTCTGGTGGAATGTCGGTAGTATAATTTCACAATCCCTCTCTCTTTCACAGTGTAAGAATTAATAGAGCATGGGGTAAAAAAAATCTTGATAATTATAAAGATTTGAAAAACTAATGGTGCAAAGAATGGGCTAATTTTAGGCTAAAAGCTGGTCCTAGTGTTATAGAATTCCCCAAACTTTCATAATTCATGTTGGCTTTGCAACACTGATTGGCCTTTTCTATGCTGAGAGTTATAAAATTTTGAAAAAATAATGGTGCAAAGAATGGGTTGATTTTGAGCTAATGCTGGTCAGCGTGCCATAAAATTCTTTCATAATCAATGTGGGTCTTGCAACACATCTTGGCCTTTTTGTGTTGAGAAGCGCCAATGAACCAAATGTACTGGCAACAGCTAGGTTGAGGCATTTTCATTGGTCTCTCTATTGATGTGTGTCAGCAGTGTCATGTGTGCTGAATACAGCAACAGCTCATTTTTGCAAACCTAAGGTTTGTGTATTCTCCTGTTGCTGTTTTTGTTGCAATCTGAGATACAGATGCATATTGTACGGGTAAGTGCATATGTTGAGCAGTGTATGAACTGCACAGGTGGTGAAATGAACCTCAAAGCTCAGCCCAACTAGTGCTTATGTGTGTTAGGCTCCAGCCAACAAGGCCACTCTTGCTTAGAATCATGGACGTCCGGAAAAAGGTTCCAGGGGGGAGGATATATATATATATATATATATTAAAGTAGCTAAACTACACAGCTTTATTAGCGCACTCAGGACCTGGCCTTCATGATTTCTATTCAATTTCGCACTATTGACTAATCTTGTCTATCATGTGTCTGCAGTGAAAGAAAAGATGCCGTGCTGGACGCCCCTCCCCTTGTGGATGCACCACCCTAATTAAGTTCTGCAGATGCCCTTGTTTAGAATGGAAGAAAGTTGAGCTATTTGGTAGGTATTTATCATAAAAGAAAGTGGGGGGCAGAAAAGGATGAGACGTCACAAGTGGTGTTTGTGTAGTGTAGTTCTTTCACCGTGTCCGTGTTTGCATGCCAACTGCCATTAGTAAAGCACTCTGGCTTCTTTTCCATTGGTTTTAGCCTTCCCTCTGTCAAGAAATTTGCATATATATATATATATATATGTTTGCAGTGCTTTGTAATGTAATTAATTTAATGCAGAGTGATTAAACTACTGTTAGGGTGGTTCGATGTCCTGTTGTATACACATGAAGATAATATACATTTTCACTGATGAGGCTAATGAATAAAGTGGCATTTTAACCAGTTGCATGGTGTTCAACAGTATCTACTCGAGGCTTAGCTCTAAGGATAGGTCTCAAAAGTAATGTCAACGAGTTGATTAAAAAAGATATATTCATCATATCATATAACACTAAGGTCATCTTGTGCCAATACATGGGCTCCAGCGAGATTTCCAGGCACCGAAGACATCACGG